TGAAGAAAGACACCATTCTAGAATTTTAAATTTAATTTTTGGTAAAATATAGACACGAAATCTTAAAAAAAACCGCTAAATTTAAAATTTGTAACAAATTAAATTTAAAACCTCATTGGAAACCTTCACGGTAGAGCTTGGCAAATTTCATGACAACTTCTTCGTTTAATAAGCTTTCTAGCGGTATACCCGTTTGTTTAAGTACATCGAAACTTAATACAAGCGAACTTTGTCGCATGAGTAGCAAATCATCCTGCATAAGCACACCTTCAGAATCCCTGCTTACTCCCCTCATATTCGCTGCTGCCCTTCTGACCTCTATCCCCTTAAACACTGTACAACTGCTTTCAGTCGTTCCTTCCTCTCCATGTTTCCAACTTATGAAACTCTTTTCCTTACTCTATACCGAGCACCATCCCTGTACCTTTAATTTTGTCTTTTTGATTACCTCTTGTCCTTACAGCTTGGCAACGAAGACTATTATTTGATTCCAATTAATTATTCTTTTTATCTAAGGTCTTGGTTAAGATGAATAAGTTAATGTCACGAGCGGGATTGGAACCTACGACCTTCGGCTCAATACGCCACTGCTCTATCCACTTGAGCTATCGTGGTAGAGCAACGGCGTATTAGCCGAAGTTCGTGGGTTCGAATCCCGCTCGTGACACTAACTTTTTCATTTCACCAAGACCTTAGATAAAAAGTGACCACCTATTATGACCGCTAAACATGTATGGATTATTAATTGAACTTTTTAGGTTGATTTCTACAGCCGTGTTAGCCTTGAATATTTGTAAGTACGCTGTGTAATAATTATTTATCCAAGAGGATTTCAAGTACCAGAATAAAATTTATTTTCCATTTCATTTTACTATCACAACTGCTCAAAATTCCAGTTTTGAATGTGCTATAAATACTTTACTACTGAGTCCGCTTCAGTTTTAGTGCAAACATAATATAAGAACCCCTTCTATATCCAATTACATCGGCAGAAATTTCAGTTTTCATTTTTTCTATGTTCTTTAATAAAGCCGATTGATAAAGTAGCTTTTATTTTTTATTATTTGTAAGGGTAATGTCATACATTTTCAATGAAAAACATTTTACAACAAATATTGTAAAAATTATGCTGTTTATGCTGTTTCTGCTCTTAAGGAGATAGCTTTCAAGGCTTCTTTGTCAAAAAAAGACACTAGCTATTTTTATGAGACGGCAAAAATTGCTGAAATCGAGCTTGGACGAAACGTTCAATAGGTTAAACGACCAACAAATTATCCCATTGATTCTTCAAGGGCATTTTTGTTTGCATAACATCATGCACAATAGAAAATAGAAAAAAATTGATGTTTTTGTATTCATTTGATCTTGCCCAGCAATTATGCAAAATCCTACTCCAATAATATTGTTGATAAGCTTCGGTTTGTGTATTTGACGTAGAATTACACAGGGGATTAACTTGAAACATTCTCAGATGAGAAAAGAGTTGAACTCGCAGAAACATTGGACAACCGAAATAATTTCTATTAATAAACGTCCCTGTATCGATTTCCATGCGTGTTGATAAACCAATACGTACGAATTTGACTGAAATCACGCAACAACCCGATGTCGCAATCATCGCAGGATTGGAATGATAAATGGTTATCAAATCTATCATTATGCTATTGCTACAACGATTCTCGACTGATTTATTTATACAATTTTTTTTCAATTTTTCAGCATCCGAAATCATAATCGCACGGAAATGTTTCCGTTTGAATAATACAACTACAGGCGTCATCAGAGTGACGTCTTGGCCCGAATTGATTTACCTTTCGGATCGATGTGAGGAATATGAATTATCGACCTTTTTTTCCATTCGTCACTCTCCACAATTAAAACAAGCCCATGGACCTCGGTAATAGAAGACACTTCATTAAAAATAGAGTTAATGGAACGTTTAACCTTTGAACGTAAATTTTGAAGAATTGCTTTTGTCAGTGGTGCCGATAAGAAAGTTTTGATGAGTTTGAGTGTTTTGAGGTCATACGATGACAAGACTTAACGTTCGGTTAAGTTCAAGCAAGTGGCATCAGCAAGAGTGCTGAAGATCCTAAACTGAATTGAAACAAGATTATATAAAGTTAAAGTTATTTAAGCAAATAAAAGATGTTTTAACCAAAAACATATTTACATGCAACATGACAAATTTCAACTAAAGCCAGAAGCTTGTTTTGTTTAAATTGATTGGTTGAAGAAGGTGAAAACTGATAAAACAAACGATATTTTTGTTTACAAGGTGATAACCATTCAGGTGGTCTATTGTCCAATAATTAATGTGTTTATGTTCGAAGGTGAATTATCGTTAAAGCTCATCGGACTGGGCATAGATGATTCATGCGAAGGGCCATTTCGAGTGCAGGGGAATGCCTTAATAATGTTAAGACGTCGTCTCAGGAGCACGCGATGCCCGGCACGCGATCATGTCCCAGTGCTTCCTCCGCTAATTCCTGGATGGCAGGAAATCCTAGGAGAAACGTGACGAAAAGAAAGAGCCAAGTCGAATCGGATCACGCATTCATCTGATACAAACGGCATTTGTAATTGGAATTAGGAATTATGGACGCGATATTGGAAACAGGGTTTTCAGACGTTTTGACGTGTTGAAAATCGCTGCACGGTGTCGATAGGCAGTTTATGCCTACATAATTTTCAAATTAACTCCGCTAGAAATAAACATATCACATGTATCTTGATCTGGTTTTAAATAGGAAGGATGAAGGTTAGAGTATGTGGACGTAGCGATAATCACGTGCAAATTGAATCCAGGATGTAAGTCTTTACGGATTCTACTCACGACAAAGGGTATTTTTGTAGAGTGGTGAATGCCATACAATTCATCCTTGGTTCCAAGTATGGTTAAATATGGTATTATCCTAATTGAGATATTTGACTTCACAATCATGTGGGAATGCATGTAGCGTTAAATTTCAGGGAGAATGGCACAAAAAAACGCCAAAGCTGGACAACAAAAACACACGCAGTACTGTCTCGAAAAAATGCATCGTATACACTTTCGTGGATGTAGATTCGTTGGAGTGAAACACATTGGGCCCACTATGCTCCAGGTGCCAAAAATGTGCCTTATACCGTAGCCTTCAACTACATCAAAAACATTTTTCTGACTTTATCCATGTGACATTTGAAGCCTCCTGTTCAAAAATGATTTGAAGTCTACCAACAGATTAGTGTTCTTCTGCGAAACGGTGGCATCTCCAAAGTCAACTTATAATGGATAAGTGACTAAATAGCCTTATGTACTGCGTCCATTGTGCTCCTCTTCTTATGGGCTGTGCCTCACTATTTAGTTCCTTGCTTTGTATTATTATGGAATGTGGTTTCATCTACTTTCTAGAACCGACACGGTCAATATTTGCAAATTGGGTTTGCAATGTCAAGTTTTTTGTTGTTTTTTTCCATCCACCTCCCCGCCGTACCTAACAGAGACCACATACCAGCGGACCACGGCCACTAAACTAATTCAAATGGGATGCAAGTTTAGGGGATCTTATTGTGTTTAACGTCTTCCTGCGACCTTGCCCTGAAAGGGGAGACCCAAGGAAGAAGGGAAATTTTTTTTCTTATTATTAATTTATCTAATCTAATAGGTCTCCCTCTTGCTGGTTAATCCTTTTGAATACACTTTCTAATAAATACAATATTTCAATAAATAAATAACAATTATGGGTACAAGGAGTAACCAGCCCGGAATTAAAAGTTCAGGGCAACGCTAAGATCTAACAAGTAACATCATAGGAAGAAAAAGAAGAAAAAAGAAAGAAAGAAAAAACTAATCAGGTACTTTATCCACTATAGCTCGGCTAACTGGTTTGAGGACCTCAAACGTCCTCTTTTCTTTAACCAGTTCGTTGAGGGTCGGTGGCCTAGTGTGGCGGAAGAGGAGCTTTAGTGGTTCCCTCACACTCTCAAGGAGGGGGCAGTTGAACAGTCTGTGTTGGACACTGTCATCAACTCCGTAGTCGGGACACAGTGGACTGTTAGCTCTACGGAATCGGTGCAAGTAAGCGTTGAAATTTCCGTGACCTGTCATTATTTGTGTGATCCAGTAATTTGGTTGAAACCACTTTGCTTTTGCTCGGTCCTCAATACTGGGTAGAAACTCGTGGGTTAGCCTTCCCTTGGTGCTTATGTCCCATCTGTCCTGCCACAAGTTGTCTATCTAAACTGTAAGGATCTCCCGGATCTGCTTTCTAGGTGCAGTTCGTAGCCTTTCCCTATCTGACGCATCCAAATTTACCATTGTTGGCTCCTTTCCATCTCTTAGCTGCCGGATTGCAATTCTACTGTGGAGGACAATGTCTATTGGTGCAGAGGAAGCAAGGACTTGGAGGGCGTGAGTAGAGGCTGTCCTATAAGCTTTAGTCGTTCTCAGGAGCGCTATTCTTTGACTCTGCTCGAGGATGCTTCTCCTACTCCTGCTTTGCAATTTTGTTCCCCAAGCTGCTCCTCCGTACTTGGCAATGGGCAGGTATACGCTTTTGTAAGTGATAGAGAGCGCCCTTGGACTCAGCCCCCATTTTGATTTCGCGATCGAGCTTAGTTTCGAGAAGACGCATCTCGTCATTTCTCTGATCTTGATGGCATGGTGTATAGAACTTAGCCAATGCAATGTCCAGTTATCAGACTTTCAATGCTTTGCTGCAGCAGGTTATTTTAAGTTTAGGCGACACTTGACTTTTGCCTAACTATAAACTGGGATGTTCTTCCACTAGGTTGGGTGACTTTTTAACTTGATCCATTCGGCGTATACTTCCCTAGAGATTTATTGAATCGTATTTTCTAGCATTTTCAAATTGGATAAAGCGGTTTATTGCTGGGTTTACAATTTACGCAAATCTGTTTAATGGTCATTTAAAAAAATAGGCAACATTTTACAAAATCATTGGTACTTTACCATCATCACATGTACCAAAATTTGAACTATTTAGGAAAAAACTTACTTGAACGGTAAAGCTTCTGTAAGATTGCTGTTGGCCTCTATCTAACCTCCAAGGGAAAAAGCTTATATCCCTGAACATCCCTGCTTGATCAAAACATCACCGACGAATCCTGTAAAACCAAACAAAAAGTTGTAAGAATTTCACATTGCATGTTGTTTATGTTATGCTCGCGTTCTGATTGCCCTTAGTCGTATTGGACATCGCACTCTTTCGCTCTGGAGACTATGCGTTTTTCAAGTTACACTTGTCATTTATCCGTAGAAACAGACAACATAACAGAATTAGGAAAAAGGGAGTCGGAATTAGGTATTTGTAACTTACGGTGTGTTCCTGGGCCTAGGTCTTTGTATGTGGGTTTGGCTGGTCACTTGTCAGTTTTGAGTTTCAATTATTTTGCTTCCTTCTTTCGTCTTCGTGATGCAGCATATACAGCATCATGTTTAGTAAAACTACTAGTGTCAGGGCAACTTCAATTATGAATATTTTTCCCTTTTTACTTAGAAACATGCCTACGATTATCTTAATGTGATTTATATCAACTTTAATCTTATTATTAATCTTATAAAAGATCAGGGAAAAGGTAAATTAAAAAAAAAACTCAATTACTTTGTCAATCTTTCGGGAAATATATCCCCTACATCTCCACTTTGAAACTGTTATTATTATCTTCTATTAATTATTTAAACGTTTAAACGTTAAAAATCTACTGATGATAACTTTTTTATGGGTTTAGCGTTGAAGAGTTGACGAGATCTTTCATCTTCCTACGACTGTCGTCAAACAGAACTAACAACCACCAATCCCTAGTCAAAAATAACGAAGCCTTTCTGGCTCAAGCTAAAAACGAAAAGCTTTTTAAACGAAGAGCACCTTCAAGAGTATTAGGTCCAGAAAAAAATCAGGTTATAAACAAAGTAAATGTAATTGAATCAAAAGACATCAAAGATACAGATGTACTCGTTTCTAACTCACTACTCTTAACCTCTATAAATAAACGGTCGGCAAGTTTGTTTTACAAGGTATAGCAACTAAATCACTCATGATTTGTCTGTAGAAATGAACCTAACTACAGGGGAGAGAAGTACCTTCAACCATGAATCCTCAACTAAAAGAAGAGAGACGGTTTATAAACAAAATTCAATTTAACAATTATTAAATCACATTCACTCATGGACCTCTTCTAAAAGTAGTATCTAGGTATAGCAACACCAGGGAATCTAGTGGCACAACGTACCAAGATAGTGTGCCAGGTTGATACCATTACGATCCCTTAGCCGTATACTTCCTACCTTCATATAATAAACGTCTGGTGATTTTTGTATGATGTAGCTATTCCCAAACGATTTAATTGATTTGTATCCGTTTTGAGTTTTCAGCCTGTTCGATGCTTTGCCTCCAAATTTGCAGATTATTATACAAACTGTGTTTCTTTGTTTGCTTATGTTTTCTTTAAACAGGTTTCTTGTATTTAATTTCTTATAATTAAATAATCTTTATGTAAGGTGTTAGTTGAGAACTATCGTGACTTCTATCCACTCGGACACCAACTTCCCACCTGGAGTGGATCGTAGTCACGATAGCTCAACTGGTAGAGCAGCGGCGTATTTAGCCGAAGGTCGTGGGTTCGAATCCCGCTCGTGACACTGACTTTTTTATCTCAACCAACACCTTACATAAAGATTAATTAATTGAAAGATGTTACTTGGTCAATCGGACCATGAAATCTAATGAATTTAATTTCTTACATTTTGTTTTTATTTTTAATGCAGTTTTTAATTTTCTGTTATTTACTGTGTAATGGATATCCACATATAATTTTCTCTATTAAAAATTACGTAACAATATCACAAATAAAAAATGATATATTACATTGAACATTTCAAGTCTTGCCTATTAAAGGGAATCAATTTAATTTTACGAGTGAACAAAACGTGTAACGGATTTAGAAACGCGCCATGTTATTTTCATAGGTAATAAGAGATGGAAATAGGTATTATTTGTGGTAAAAGTGGTAACCTAGTAATAATGATAGCTCCTTAGCGCCAAATTCTTAGTCTCATTAAACACTGCCCATTGGTCAAATAACATGTTTCCCTTTTAGTCAATCCGTGACGACCTAATTTTGTTGGTAGATTATAAATTATTTTCATCATATTAACTTATTATTACATCAAACGGGGAACGACTGAAGGAATAATGTAGTATGTTTCGCAATTTAAACATTTTTTTAAATAAAAATTCTTTGTTAGTATTGCTTAAGACCGACTAATATAGGAGGGTAGTGAAATTTGGGGGTTACCGATTATTTAGGTCTTCCTATCCTCAGACGCGTTCTGCATTTCACCACCTTCAATGAGTCTGTCTAGAAGCCCTTGACGCTGCATGCTAATATTTATTGAGAAAACCCTCCTCCTTGACAAAAATTGAATGAGCACCAATGCTTATGCGGAGGGAAGTACATAATGCAAACATGTCGAAAAATAAGACAAATTCAACGAAGATAGATGATTGTTTAGAGACAATGATGGAAAATCATACTATGCGCCTCGTCTCACAGAAAACAATCACGGACCACGGTATACAAAAAGACGAAATATGGGCAGTACGCGAAAACTTAGAAATTTACAAACATAATACATTTAATACAACAACAAAACTCATAATCACACAAATGAACACATCATTTCCCCTATTCAACACATTATACCAGTTAAAAAGGAAAAAGGACCGAAGAAGAAATATCGGCTGGAATATACGCACGTACACTCTACCCACGACCGTTTAAAAGAGACTTGACTTCACAAATATCACACAGACCCAACTATGCAGCTGAATTACGTTCCCTGTAGGGATCGCATCGCCTGAGAGACGATGAGTTTCTTTTTTTTTTTTCAATTTTCCGAATAATGATGAACATTTAGTTCGTCTGCTGTGCAACACATTGAAGCATAAATGCATAAAAATAAAGGTGAAATTAAATGCATTGGCTAATTAATAAATTCCAATCCCTTCTATTTAGCCATTCTATAACACCCTACATAGTGAGGCTTTTTATCTTAAAACCATTTTACCCTGAATTCTGTCAGCAATGAACATTCGCTGATAAAACATTGCCTACATTCTTTCACCTATTATTACACTGAGAACAAGTACGATATAAAACTTAGTAGTGGCCTTTAGGAACCTCCAAAACCTGAAAGACTGGCTCGAAATTGAGGATTAACTCAACGCAACAAAATCCCAGCAGTCTTCAACTTCTCCCCCAGCAACATCATCCGCTAGTTGGGACTTTACATCGACACAAAACTAACATGGAACCCCACACTCGACTCAAAAGAATAGAACTGAACAGATAGATATAAGCTGGGTAGCTAATGGGTAGCTTATATGGGTACATGACTATACCACACATAGAAACTCTCACTAAAAATCAAAGCCTCGCCTACACATTCCTACAACCAATCTGGAAGGAATCGTCATGTGGGGTTCAGCCAACAGTACCAACCTCCAAAGATTCAGTCGCTCTTGTCCAAAATCTTTCGAACCATTGCCCAAGCTCTCTATTTTGTATTCAACCCCTATGCAGACCTTCAAATCTCATTCGTCCTCAAACCGGAAGAAGTACATACAGACACCTTCATAAACCCTCTAGTCCAACACCTTTCAACCCGAACCCTCCCNATCATGCAACATTCAAGGTTACACGTCAACGTTTCATAACTAACACGGAAAAAGCTTAAATAAACAATTCAAAAAGTTTTCACTTTCCTTTGGGCCAGTGGAAATGAAATATCTTAGAAAAACTGAACAAAAAATTGTTTAAATAATATAAATTTGGAACCAAACATTTCATGATAACATAAAGTATGGTGTTATTCTTGTGGTATCATGTATGTCTTAAGATATATACACACAATCTTATCAATTTTCTTTCGAAGATGAAATTTATTTCTGCAGTGATATTATGTTTTGCTAGTAAGTCCTTTAGATCTATATACCAGAAACCCCATTTTCTGTACACTCCCTTGCCTGTATGCATCCTGCTTTCTTTCAGAAGCTTAAGTATTTTCCTAATATGCTTTTTTAGCGTGTACATAAATAAAGTGCTACCATCAGTCGCTAACATGCAGGAGATAATTTATTCTGTTCTTTAGGAGTGATAACATTTTAGGAAGAAATTCTGGACTTTTTTATTTTTCGTATTTGTTTTCATCTACATATGGTAAGCTGTCACAATCACTCTTACAACACTTTTAAAGACCCCGTATTTAAATTTAAGAGGAACGTTGTGTTTTTAGTATAAAACTGCTGTAAGTTGCATTGATAGCGGTCTTCACAGTGGACAATTTCGCTGCACAATGGTATTTGAAGCTTAATTGGGGAGGAAGTCAGACTCATAAATATTTATATGTGTTTGTAAAAATCTACTATTTGTGTGTCTGCTTGTAGTGCATATTATATAAAGTATCACATGATGTTTGATTGTGATTTTAATCACGATGGTGCAATATTGGCTTCATGTTGTTTGAACGTCTAGATTTTTACAGAGTCAAATATTATTATTCTTACGTAACATCCTTTTTTACAAGGTTTATTCTTGTTTGTGTAAAATTAATAAGGTTAATTTTGGTTTAAAATGTACAAATAGTCAATTTTCTTTGTTGGTGTTACGTCTGTTCTCTTGTTTCGAGCTGTTTTATCACTTTTCAGCTTATGATTGAAAATCGTTACCGACTGCGTTGACCAATTTGCATAAATATTGTATGTGAGGTCAATAAACACAGGAGGCGGTTCGAAGATAAATACCTGTCATTTAAAATCGCTGTTATACAACGGGGGCGTCACTGGATCGATATATTTATACGTATATCCTTTTATACATGTGTGTCCGAATGGCAATCTAGTACTGAGCAGAAGGGCGACCTTTTCTTTAAACAATCAATATATCCGTGACGTGGACTTCACAATTTGTCACGCACACGAACGACGGCCAGTGGGCTTCTTCGGCGGTGTGCATCCTCCTGAAGGCCCGAGACGTCTCGCCTGTCGAAGCAGCAAGTCCGTCTTCGGGATTTGATCCGTTGGGCCGTTTTTAACGATTTCCGACCTATACCGATTGGAGAGGGGACTGGAAGAATCGTCTTTCCCATTCGATATGCACGAAATATGTCAATTGACCTTGACAATATCTGCTTGATATCGAATTCGCCTTTAGAATTAGCGGACAAATGACCGGTGACGTGGTATAGAAACTTTCCGCTAATTTTAGACCCTTTTGTAAAACAAACGTTGCATTAACATGCAATCATAAAAAATTAAAATAACAATATATTTCGAAACGTCGAGATTTATTGAGAAAGTGGTTTCGCGTGGCGACGCAACAAGTTAACTACAATTCGGTCGGTAAGCTGTACAAAGTTTGTCACCAATTGGGTCCGCCCATTCTCGTAGGTTGCGGTCAGAAGAATGACTGTACTATTTTCAGTATACAATCCATATTAAGCCGTCCAAAAGTAAAAATAAAATTTTAATTTATCATATGCATGTACTAGCTTATGAATCAACTTTACGATGACAGTTTAACTCTAACACATCTGCCAATTTTTTTATAGAATTTCCAATTTTTAAGAAATAGGAGAAGATGACGCTTGGGATTCTAGCCTTCTGATTTGCCTCCTATCTTTCCAGAGTTTTCACTCATTTTGACCTGAATGATTCCAACCTCAATAGAATCATAGAACAAGGCTTATCATCTCCTCTATATCTCTCCCTTCTACCAAAACTATTCATACTCAATGAAGTATGGGAATATCATAACATATCTACCACTAAAGAAAGCTCCCGATTTCGACCAGATCATTGAAAAAATCATTCGACGCCTAGGTACCTAAAAGAACAACATACTTCCCACTGGAAAATCATCTGGAATTCAAAATGCCTCATAACCTTCCATCATCCTACCGTGCAATTAATCTGTTGCCTAAAATTGGCAAAATCCTAGAACAACTCCTGCTTAAACATATTCTCCCCATTCTTCAACCACAACCTTCAGTTTAGATTCATACGTTCTCACTATTCAGCAGGACCATCGCGACTGCTCTTGAGAGCGAAAGGAGTTCTCTGGTCCGGTTTATTTCTAGTTGTGAAGAAAGCCTTCGATCGTGTATTACCCTCAGGCTGCCCTGAAAGCTTAAGGGAGACATTCCGTTTACCTGCTACCTAATCCTAAAATGATACTTAACCGACAGATCCTTCAAGTGGCTCCTCTCTATCAGCCGGCTATCGCTCATATGCAGGGGTACTGTAAGGAAGTATCTTAGGACCTCTACGCAGTATACACCGCAGACATTCCTAAACTGAAACGGTAAAAGCATTGACGAAGATGCTGGATTGTAAAGATTAATATGTTGGAGTTAGGAATGTTTGGTTGAATCTCAAAGTCCGATGCCTTAACTCCAGATGGGTCTCAGAATGGTAATATCAATTAATCATTTGCCCAGCTGTATGTCCATGTATAGCCCATGTATGTAGATAGCGGACAGTATTAGCTGGTGGAATATATTATTCTACTAAATGGGACCATTCATATTAGAGTTTTTGTTTTACTGGTCGATGCTGATTACTTTTCTAGGTTCGTCTTTTCTCTCTCATTAGAAGTTTTGTTTATTTTTTGCATGCTGACTTTTTTAAATATTGCTGTATTTTCAAATATAATAGAATGGGGTGAATAGAGTAAGAATCTTTTCCTTGACATTTCCAGTTTAGTCGGAGATATTAATATCGGACGGATAAACCATCCATTATATCAAATGTATGTTATTTACCGAGCGGTTGTTCAATAATTTAGAAGTAGTTAAGCACCGTCGGGAATGAAATATCTTAGAAAAACTGAACAAAAAATTGTTTAAATAATATAAATTTGGAACCAAACATTTCATGCTAACAAAAAGTATGGTGTTATTCTTGTGGTATCATGTTTGTTTCGTGTGAAATTATTGTGAAACGTGAATTTTATTATGCTGTTTTTATATAATGTTTGCGATATTATTGAGTATGTTGGTGGGATATTTGATTGATTGTGATAGACCCGAATAAAGATCAAAACATCGGCAAAAAAAGATGTTTTTCTAAAATACTTCATTCCTGACCGCGCTTCAGTACTTCAAAATTATTGAACAACCGGTCGCCAAACAACCGACTACCAATCATTTGGTGCAACAATTTGTTGGAGTAGTGAGGAGCGGTGAGGAATGAAATATTTTAGAAAAACACCTTTTATTCATTTTTTCACCTACGTTTCGACCTTTATTCGGGTCATACAATTTATCAAAATACCTCACCAACATACTGAATAATATCGCATACATTATATAAAAACAGAAGAATAAAAATTCACGTTTCACAACAATTTTACATGAGACAAAAACGACACCACAAGAATAGCACCATACTTTATGTTAGGATGAATAGTTTGGTTCAAAATTTATATTATTTACATCTGAATTTTATAATTATTTTTTCCAATAAAAATAAGTTTTGAAATTCACCCAGATGACCCGAATAAAGGTCGAAACGTGGGCAAAAAAAGATGTTTTTCTAAAATACTTCATTTCTGACCGCGCTTCACTACTTCAAAATTATTGAACAACCGGTCGCCAAACAACCGACTACCAATTATTTGTTGGAGTAGTGAGGCGCGGTAAGGAATGATCTATTTTAGAAAAACCCATTTTATTCATTTTTTCACCGACGTTTCGATCTTTATTGGGGTCATCAAATCTATCAAAATACCTCACCAACATACTCAATAATATAATATCAACAATAGTAATATCGCAAACATTATATAAAAACAGAAGAATAAAAATGCACGTTTCACAACAATTTTACATGAGACAAAAACGACGCCACAAGAATAGCACCATACTTTATGTTAGGATGAATAGTTTAGTTCAAAATTTATATTATTTAAATCTGAATTTTATAATTATTTTTTCCAATAAAAATAAGTTTTGAAATTCACCCAAAACACCTTGTTTCATAAATTATTACACGAAATGATTTATTTTTTATGATTTATTTTAATAGCCCGAGGCAAAGGTGCATGATTTATTTGCCATGTGTAAAATGTGTTTTACTACATTTATTATTCAGGGGGTGAAAAAAATCCATAATCTTCTGTCATATTATCCCCAATCCGGTTGTTGGGCGGATACAACTTTGAGCATTTACGCCTGAGCCGTCGACATTATTTTTTCTATTATTGTTGAAACTAATGGATTCGGTTCGATCAAACCGAATGGAAGCGTTTCCGAAGTCCGATCTATTTTTATTAATATAATCGTAGGCTTTTCCACGGTCAAAAAGTTGACTCTTCACAGTTTATTACAAAAGCAGCGTTTTATTTTTACCTGCAAATACGGTATTAGATTAAAAGCTTAAATTATTAACAGTTATGTGTTTGAATAATTAAGTGTCCCAGTTAACAGACACTCCGGAAATTCGACTTGAAGGCCAGGGCAAAAGGTTAAACCTCGGTCTTAAGCCGTTAATCGAAATAATCTTTGTAGTGCACCGGGGTGGTAATGGTCCGTTGGAAGAAATGATTGACGTCGAGGGCGGTTAAGGTCGTACCAAAACTGCAACACTGCAGGGACATGAATCAGGCCGTGAAGCCGTTGTTCCACCTTGTTCAAGAGCAAGACTTGAATATTTCATAAGAGCAGGCTCTTCTTAGTGGGATTTTGAGCATTTTTGTAGAAAAGGTCATTAGAGTCCGTATAGGAATAATTAAGACGATCGAATTTACTCTTGGCGGATCATGCAACATTCAAGGTTACACGTCAACGTTTCATAACTAACACGGAAAAAGCTTAAATAAACAATTCAAAAAGTTTTCACTTTCCTTTGGGCCAGTGGAAGTGGCACAGCTGAGCATTGATCGCTCACTATTTCCTTTGGGCCAGTTCTTGCAAACTTGCGAAGAACAAGTTTCAAGCTTAAGAGCTAAACATACTTAAGAACATTCATTTACGTTTTAATGGTACTTCTTTCAATTAATTATTCTTTTTGTGTAAAGACTTGGTTGAGATAAAAAATGTCGATGTCACGAGCGGGATTCGAACTCACGACCTTCGGCTAAATACGCCTCTACTCTACCACTTGAGCTATCGTGACTTCGATTCACTTCATAAGTCGCTGAGAATTCAATCTTGATTACACGACATTTGAAAATGGCAAAAAAGGGAAAATTCGAACGGTTGTCGGTTGAGATGTAGAGTTGGTGTCCGAGAGGATCGAAGTCACGATATCTCAAATGGATGAGTAGCGGCATATTTAGCCGAAGGTCGTGAGTTCGAATCCCGCTCGTGACACTGACTTTTTTAATCTCAACTAAGACCTTACGTAGAAAGAATAATTAAGTAAAAGAAATACTTAAGAACTCTTTCTCCACATCCTGGGACAAAGACATGCTGAATATTGTAAAAAAAAATGAAAAATGTAAAAAATGTAATTAATCCAACTGAAGGCAATTATTTAATTGTACATATCCATGAGCTAAAAAATAACATTTAACGGAAAAACTGCTGCTATCGTTTTGCTGAAAGGCCAAATTACGAAACTGAGATTTGTAAGTCAAAATTGGAAGAGCTAAACATACTTAAGAACTCTTTCTCCAGATCCTAGGACAAAGGTATGATGAATATTATAAAAAAAATGAAAAATGTAAATGATCTAACTGGAGACAATTATTTAATTTTACAAATCCATGATCTGAAAAATAACATTTAACGGAAAAACTGCTGCTATAGTTCTGCTGAAAAGCCAAATTATGTAAGCCAGAAATGGAACCTCATCTGGAAAACCCATATACGTATATTTTATAAATAATAAGGGCATATATGATATTTAACTGTTGGTACCTCACCCATCTTGGTTGCAGCAGGCACAACAGCATCCAATATTTCCTATGGCACACCAATGCTCAAACCATGAACACCAATCACCTACAAACAATACACCTTTGGAT